TAAATAAATAAATAAATAAATAAATAAATAAATAAATAAATAATACACAGAGAGACAAACCTACCCATGGAACTCAATGTTCTTTCTATGATTACACTTTTATAAAAAAAGATATTGTTAGTCCTTGTATCCAAGTACATTTTCTTATCCTTCTGATGTGCCTACAGGTATTTCATTGTCCCTCAACTCTTCTGAAATCTCATTGATGCATTTATTCTACCCAAGGAACTTATTGTTCTTTCTATGATTACACTTTTTAAAATAGGAAATTGTTAGTCTTTGTATCCAGCACATTTTCTTATCCTTCTGATGTGTCTACAGGAATTACATTTTCCCTCAACAATTCTGGTCTCATTGATGGATTTATTTTATCTTCAGATTCTAGATGGTACTGTATATATATTTTGTGAAGAAACACGAATGTTCTTATTTTTCATCCTTCATTGGTTCAAGAGACGTCTGGAGCCAAAGATTTTTGCTAGATGGGGGGAGTCCCAAGGATGACAAGTTCTTAATTAGTTGGGGTTTTTTTTTAGACAACCTTACAAATCGACAAATAAATTCATGTTTCATTGGTTCATGGGGGGAGCTTCGTGCTTCATGATTTGTCAACTTTGACAGATCACAAAGCAGGATGAATTGCCAAAATGGCGATTCGTCCTCGTCTCTAATTGAGATTTAAACTATTAAGGGCTTTATAGGTCATAATCAACAACTTGAATTGAGCACAGAAACTAAGAAGGAGCCACTGGAGGTACGCCAAGACTTGAGATATGTATTACTGAATTTACTAGTCCCAGAAATCAGTTTGGCCATACTATTTTCAAGGCAGCTCTACACAGAGAGAATTACAATAGTTTATTTTTGAGATTACCAATGTGTGAACCACTGACAAAAGGCACCCCTGGCCATGGCTGAGATTCGGTCCTTTGTAGAGAGTGCCAAGTCCAGGAGTACTCATAAGTTGTAGGCCTGATCCTTCAGGGGGAGTGTAAATCTATCAAGGCCAGATGCATTTTCCTCTAACTGGTCTGACAAGCCTCCTAATAATTGAATGTCCATCTTATATGGATTCAGTTTCTGTTTATTGGCCCTTGCCCAGTTTATTATTGATGTTAGGTAGTGCTCAAAGATCTGTACAGCATCACCTGCAGAAGAAGCATAGGAGAAACAGGGCTGAATGTCATCAGCATACTGATGACAGCAAACCCCAAATATCTGCCTCCCCCCCCCCCCCCCGGT